GAGGTTTGATTCCAGATGCTCTAACACTACATTTACATGGACTGCAGTAGTCCAACTACTGACCCCAAGTATCTCAGTATATTGAAGACATGTATACACTGTAATTAAACTTTTTTTTGTATCACATCAATCAATCAAAAAATACAGTATAGTATGTAAATGGGATGATGTTTACATACTATACTATATAGATGATGCCATTAAATTGAACTATTATCCTAAAAATAGTTGGATAATTGCAGTCCGTGTATGGTATTATGGATGATGATAAGACAAATGCATTATTTTAATTGTTAAATGATGATAATACAATTAGAACTTGGAATTGCCTATAATCAACCTTCAATAACTTCCTCAGGTGTGAAGATTCCCTTCGCAAAAATAAGAGTCTGATTGGTCCGGACCAGAAAGAGTATCAGAGAGAGCTGGAGAGGAACTATCACAGACTGAAAGAAGCTCTGCAGCCTCTCATTAACCGGAAGATCCCACAACTCTACAAACCTGTGTTACAGGTCAACTCACACAGGTCAGACAATACAAATGATGTCAAAAGATGTTAAGAATGTATATTGCAGCTGATAACTAGCTTATTGCTGAAATTTGGTTTACCAAACTATGTTGTTTGAATGAATGAATGGTGGGAGCTTCCCATTGCAGCTAGCACCTTTAGGCCTTAAGATACGGTGGCCCAGTAGTGCACAACACAACGAATTCAAAAAGCAAACATAAGTTCACAACGAAATGAATCCACAACACAACGGAAATAAGCTGCAACACATGAAATAAAGCCGCAACACAGCGGAAATACTCCTGACCACTAGAGGGCTCTCGGAGCGCGTTAAAGTTAGTTTTCCATGCCACTGTTCTATAGAGTCACCAGCAGTCTAAAAATATATATCAATACCACAATTAGTTTTAACAGTATGTAGCTAACCATTGTATATCGACATTTATTAATTCAAAATCACCTACATGCATTATAGCTGCATATTTATACGCTAGAATGCTTTGACGCGCTTCCACAGCATATGATCCCTAAAGGGAACGTCTGGCAATTCCACCAAGTTGTTAAAACATATAATTTGTTGTATTAATTAAAATGACTTTTAACATTCAAAAACAGACATGTTCAAAATCCAAAGCTTGATTGTATTGGTACTTGGTAGTAAACTGACTTACTACAGCTGACTTTTTCCCAATACCTCCCTTCATCTATTGCATCATTGTTGTTTTTGTTTGTTTAGTGTTGTGTAAGTAGAATTAATAATATATATATATATAAAAAACGTTCAATTTGAAAGTAGATTATATCTGGTCTGGGCTATTTTGTTATTTTTTGTTGTTGTTATCTTTTGTCATGTCGGTGAGGCCATCTAATTTGTAACTTTTTTATTATAAGAATGGGGTAGGAGTTTATAAGATTTTTTTTCTTCCTACTCCTGTTCTTCTTGTCATGGAATGTATTTTTTGTTGGATTTGTTAAATTGTTGTTGTGGCATTTTGTGTTGCATTACCATGAAAAGAGAATACATAAATAAATTAAATTTATTTGCAGTAAACAATTATTTTTTAGGAAATTTCTGTAATATAATAAAAGTTTTTTTCTTCTTTTATCATGTTTCAAATGTTGTAGTTCCTATTAACCAGACTGACTTACAACAGGTGAAATTGTGCCAATAGCTCCCTGCATGCACAGTACACAATTTGTTTTTTATAAAAACATTAGGCCTACTGTAATTCACCTAAAGGTTTTTTGTTTTCATGTCCCAAAGCTTGTGGTAGGTTCCTAGTGACCAGACTGACTTATTACATGTGAAATTGTGCCAATACCTTCCTGTAATTCTGCAATTCGCCAAATGGTTTTTATTTTTATTTATAAAATTATATTATAATAAATTATATGTTTTAACCACTTGGTTGAATTGCCAGACGTTCCCTTAGGGATCATGCGCTGTTGTAGCGCGTCAAAGCATTCTCGAGTATAAATATGCCGCTATAATTCATGTAGGTGGTTTTGAAGTATATTTTATGTCGATATACAATGGTTACATACTGTTAAAACTAATCGTGGTATTGATATATTTAGACCAGACTGCTGGTGACTCTATAGAACAGTGGCATGGAAAACTAACTTATCGCGCTCCGAGAGCCCTCTAGTGGTCGGGAGTATTTCCGCTGTGTTGCGGCTTTATTTTGTTGTGTTGTGGCTTAATTTAATTTTGTTGTGAACTTATGTTTGCTTTTTAAATTTCGTTGTATTATGCACTACTGGCCCACCGTATTAATATTTTACCAATGGGGCATAAACATTTTAGTAATACACCAAGCCAAAGGGTCAAAGAGTTTCTTTCATTTGAAAGCAAAATTGTCATTTAAATTGTACATTACATATTGTGAAATTAATGTGAATCAAAATCAAATTACAATCAGGAAATGGACTTTAATACCCAGTTCTATTTAGTGAAATGTAAACGCGTATCTTTCTTAAGGCCACATACACCAGGTCAACGGCAATGAGCGATAGTTGGTTAATCATAAGGGATGACATGATTGTCCAGAAAGCTGTGGGTGTTTTGAATGCATTTAACCTCTCTTTGTTACGCTTTAACACGCAGCAAAAGGACGGCTTGACAAGGTAGCCAAGTTGTTTGAAAGGATGTTTTTTTAAAAAACATTTTTGTTTACCATTAATATAACTTTTGATTCCTCATGAACTTTTTTTCTTCTTCTCTTCTTTCATAACATTAAGCTTTTCTTTTTCTTTCAGAGACTCTTTTAGCAGAATGAGCCTTCGCAAGCTAGACGTGTGAAGACTGAAGACATAAAAAGAACATGCAATTTTATTTATTTGTATATATCAATCTTCCTCACCACATCAGTGTTTTTGCCATAAAGTAAAAGAAAAAAGTTGTGTTAAGGCGACTGGTACATCATTCCAATTTTGTATTGGTTTACAAAATTGCCTGTTACATGATCATAAGAACTGATGGTGAATTTAGCATACAATGTGTCAAACCTATAATCAATTCCTGTGTGCACTTTTTTTAATTTAAGTTTTTTTTTTACTTCATCCCAGTGTATTTTTAATAGTCACGGTACAACTTAAGAGTTTATTTAATCCTTATGGAAAAAGCAAAAAAGGTGATGAATTTTTTTCAGCATTATGTACCTTTTGTTTACTTTAAATATTTTACTAAATAAATAACTCTAATAGCCATTTTTTTTTACTTCATCCCAGTGTATTTTTAATAGTCACGGTACAACTTAAGAGTTTATTTAATCCTTATGGAAAAAGCAAAAAAGGTGATGAATTTTTTTCAGCATTATGTACCTTTTGTTTACTTTAAATATTTTACTAAATAAATAACTCTAATAGCCATTCCAGTGTGGTCGTGTTAAAGAAACTGCACCCAAAGACAATTTTAAATGCTGGTGTTTTAATGTGGTAAATAAGAATCTACATAACCAGTAATAGACAATATTTTAATTTCACCTCCCTTCTCAAATACACAACAGAATGCCATGTAGTGATTCTCCATGAAATGTTTTATTTATTGCTCATAGAGATCTAATTGTAATGTCAGGGCCTGCTCACAACATGGAAAAAGGAGAAAAGCTTCTTAGACTGGACTGAGGTATGGCCGATAAACTATAAAAATAGAAAAATAGGTCACTTTATCCCTGCGGTCATTTATAGGCAATCAATACTCTGTACTTTCAAAGTAAACCACCTCTTAAACTAAATTTGATTCTCTGTGCAAATAGCCAAATATTAGATCATACCTGCAGCGGGGAACAAAACATTGCCTGTGCCTTCCAATATCAAAAATTAAGAGACCAACATGAAATCTACTTTGGATTTGTAAGCCATTAATAATAGCCTCCAAAAGAGGGATGTAAAAATTTGAATTCATACTCGAGACAAAACCCAAACAAGCAAGAATAATTGATCTTTTAAAAAAATATAAAATATCAGTGCACAAGAAAATCGTTTTGTGTTATTCATTACAGCTTCGGGGGAATGCTTGAATGTACAGGAAAACTGTCACATGCACTACTATAAGTGCCAAGGTGCATTTGAAAAGCAAACGACACGGACTCGCTGAACAAGAGAAAAGAGCAAAGTACAAAAACGGTAAAAGAGAGGAGGGGGGAAAAAAGTGGCAACAAATGTCATAGCCTTGAAAGTTTCACATTGGTTTTCCACACAAACGTATGTATAAACTATTAACACATCCTGACTTGCTTTTCCATTTACCTGCAAATGTTCTTTCAAAGTCCATGTCTTAAAGGGTTAGTTCACCCAAAAATTTAAATTCTGTCAGTAATTACTCACCCTCATGTTGTTCCAACCCCATAAGACTTTCGTTCATCTTCGGAACATAAATTAAGATATTTGTTATTAAATCTGAGAGCTGGATCACTACTCCATAGGCTTCTATGTTATTGAAACTTGCCGGCCCAGAAAAGTTAGTAAAAACACCGTTAAAATAAGTCCAAGTGACTACAGTGGCTCAAGCTTAAGTTCATCAAGCGAGGAGAATACTTTGTGCGCAAAAAAAACAACAACTAAAATAACGACTTTATTCAACTATTAATTTTCTTCTCTGTGGGCCTCTGAGTGAGTTCATGTAGTGTAACAGCACAGCGCTTCTGTGTTGTACGTCACGCATCACACACATGACCAGCGTCGGCCAATAGTGAGCCTACATTCTGTCGTACAACACAGAAGCGCTGCACTGTTACACTATGTGAACTCACTCGAGGCCCACAGAGAAGGAAGTTAATAGTTGAATGAAATCGTTATTTTAGTTTTTTTTAGCACACAAAAAGTGTTCTCATCGCCTGATAAACTTAAGCTTGAGCCACTGTAGTCACTTGGACTATTCTAACAATGTTTTTACTAACTTTCTGGGCCGGCAAGTTTCAATAACATAGAAGCCTATGGAGGAGTGAGACAGCTCTCAGATTTAATCAAAGATATCTTAATTTATGTTCCGAAGATGAACGAAAGTCTTATGGGGTTGGAACAACATGAGGGTGAGTAATTACTGACAGAATTTTCATTTTTGGGTGAACTATCCCTTTAACACAAACTTCATAACTGTGAGGAGTGTCCATATCCAATCACCTATTGTTACTGAGAGACTCTCTTGTAGAACAGCAGGTAGGGCGTAGAGGTGGAGCACGTCTCAGGAGAACAGGCTCGGAGGAAGTCCTCTTCATCAAAGAGTCTTACTTCGGAATCATCAAACAGCATCCACTTTCCCTCAAAGTCCAAAAGGTTTCGCAGAGCGAGGTCAAAACTCACCTGGGTCTCGTCGTCCATAGCATCAGCTCCCTCTTCCTCAGTCTCTTTCTTCACAGTATTCTGAAGCAGAGTACCGGTGGCACGACTGGCCAAGCTGGAAGCCTTCTCTGGATTGGTTTGCTTGCCGTTGCTGAGCTCATAACTGGTGACGCTCCTCTGTCCCCCTAAAAGCCCAACACCCTCAGAGCTCCTCTTGCCTCCTGCTTTGCCGGACATGCTGCTTGTTGAACTGGCTCTTGCCACATTGCGGCCCCTGCCGGACAAGCTGAAAGACACCTCACCATCATCGTAATCTGTTTGAGGTGCCTCCTCTTTCTTCTGTTTCAGGTCTTCCTCTGTGTCTCGGTCTTGCTCTTCATCCTGAGACTGAGGCCTGAGATTGGTGCGATGGAGATCCATCATGCGGATGTAAGTGGTGTAGTGACCACTGCTGATGGTTACTCCGCTGTGCATGACCACGGCGAAGAGCTCGTAGTGATGGCTCTGGTCAGGAGAATCAGGTTGAGTGCACCACTCGTGCAGTGAAAGTTTGAGAGGGGTCTGCAGAGGTGTGTTCACCTTAGAAAGGCCAGCATAAGGGTCCATCCTGTTAAAAGAGTGAAGAATTAACTTTAAGAAGACAGAATAAAAGGATTTAAGTGTCCATCTCTTTGCTGTGTGTAACAAAAAAAGGCAATAAAAATGTTTGCACATTGTTCATGCCCATTGATTTGATTTTTTCATTTTTGTATGCAATCATTAGTTGTTTCCATCCAAAGTTGCGAATTTAACTTTAGCGCAAAATTGGAATATTGCATAAAACATTTACAAATAAAGCACCGTTTTCATCCAGCGAGTCAAAGAGAACAAAATAGTCCTGATAAACTGGTACTAAAAATAACTAAGAAAAGTAGGAGAAGCTACTGTATATAAACATTTTCGTATATAACAAGTTAATTGTTTGGTATAATTCCCGTCCCAGAACTCTTACATGACTGTTCCCACACCTCCGAACACAAGATGACACATTTCAGAACAACCAAAACAGCATTTCAAAAAGCTTGTTCTGCTGGTTAGCCCAGTTATGCTGACCCATCGCACAAATTCCCATGATTTTTTTTGATGCGCATTGAGGAATTTATTTGTTAAATGTGTTTCCATCATAGTTTATGTACATGTTTTCTTATCGGATAAAAAAAAAAAAGACTCATGGGAGCTCTTCACTGTGCCCTTCAAGGCTTTAGTAGTTAAAAGAAAGGGATTAAGCTCTAAAATCAAACAAGAGTACATACTCAGAGCCATTGGCAGCAAAGCATTTCAGGTGGATTGTTACGACTTCTGGTGTTTTGTCAAACAGAAGACTTCTCTCAGCTTCTGTGTAGTGATGACAGGTCTCACAGAAATATTTATCTTGACCCACAATCCGCTCAACAGATGCAAATTGAGATATGGCCCACTTGAGAGTTTTCAGATCAGGCTTGGGATCTGGAGAAACTGAAAAGGAAGGATACAGTTATGAAAATATGAAATGTTTTAACCAGTATCAGAGAGTGTTGACTGATGGGCATAAACACAGATGGATTTAAATGCTTTCAATGTACTCACTCTCAGAACTGGAGTCAGGGGAGCTGGTCTCATCCTCTTGCACAGGTACGCTGATATCTTGAAAGTCCTCTCTCCTCTCTGTGAAACACTCACATTCCAGGCAGCGTGTCCGCAGCACCAGCTGACCCTGGAACATCCACTTCAGCACATCCAGGCCTGATAGATCTAATCATACAAAGCAATGCTTGTAGTTATTGATCACAAATACATACATATACATAATATATATACTTTTTTTATTTAAAGTAACATTTCATTGCAGCTCTTCAAAACATTTTTATAATTTCTGTTTATAAATTATCATCATAATTTTTCTCTCAACTGAAATGTCCAGCTCAAATGTAGAGACAATTAATTTGTCAGTGAATAGTACAGATTTCTAAAGGGTTCTAAAAAAATCTGGATAGAAGATAGCATTTGATTGCGAAACTTTGACTAAGGCCCCGTCCACACTACTGCGTTTTCGTTTAAAAACGGAGACCTTTTCCTACGTTTGCACCTCCCGTCCACACTAAAACGGCTAAAACGGAGAACCAAAACGGAGAAGTTTAGAAACGCTGCCGATCCGTTTTTCGTTTTGAAACTCCGGAGGGCGTTTTAGTGTAGACGGGTCAAGACGGAGGACTTTAGAAACGATGACGTAGTAGAGGCTCACGCTCGGCTCTATGATTGGGTGTCATCAGTCATGGCGTATATATCTTTGCTAGCAGCTGTTGTACAAGTAAATTCAGCATTTTACATCGCTATAACTGCCTACATGCGCCGGAGTCAAGCTATTATTCCAGCGATCTGTGACAATTCCCGTGTGCAGCGGCGGCGTTGACCGTACATGGAGCGTCGGTTTGGGGTTAACCCAGAGCATGGTGGGATAATTTTATCAATGAAGTTGTGTTTACACCGGCACGCGCATGCCCAGTGTTGGTGAATGGTCACGTGATCCGCGTTTTCAGTCGTTTTAATGTGGACGGAGATCAATTCTAATACGCAGCTAAATTTGGTGTGGACGGAGATCGTATTCGTTTTAATTCTCCGTTTCTAAACTAAAACGCAGTAGTTTGGATGGGGCATAAGATAATTACCTTCACTCTTTCCCAGACTCTGTTTAACATCTTGAGTTCTGCTCTTGTTATCAGATGTATCCTTCTCCTGCTTCTCTTGGACACTACAATCAGATTTCTTCTTGATTTCCCCTCTCCCTCCTATGTGTGAAGTAATACGTCCCATGCTGCGGAACTTCGAGAAGATGCTAGGCTGCTTCCCAGATGGTTTCAACCAGCCAAGCTTCCCTCTCCTTGTCCTCTTTCCCACCTCTTTGGGGGAACTGTCATTCTTCTCTTCCTCTGTGGTGCTCCCTCTGTCCTTCTCTTGCTCTTTTTCCTCTAGCTCCTCTGCTCCATTCTTGTGGTTAGTTTCCGAACTCTCTGTGGTTATGTCACTGGAGGACTTGCGTTTAGAGCGGGTCATAGGCACATTTTCCTCATTTTTCTTTGACTTGCTTTGAGATTTTGGCTTCTTCTTAGCGTTGCCTGCTTCTGTGTCGCTCTTTCTCTTTCCACTCAGCTGGCCGTCTGAGCTCCCATCATCCTCGTGGGTGGTCTCCCCCGTTCCATTGCTCATTGTGCTCTCCTTCTGGTTGTCTATTTGCTCTTTTTTGATAGTGTCACAGGCCTCCTGGATACTTGCTAGGATGCACTGCAGTACCTCTTGTGCATCATGTTGTAAGTAACCCTCATACATTGGATTGAGCTGCCTGTAGAGGAGAAATCGAACAGGTTTGTCTAGAAACTCATTAAAGCCAAGGTGGCCATGGCAAGAAAAACTCAATGAGATGTTTAAATCTCTTTTCAATGTTGTTGAACGACACTCTGGCATTACCTGAGCGTGTTAAGTAGCTTGCGGGGTGGTGTGGCAAGCTCTCCGTCGTTGTATTTTTCAGGGTTAAGCAAGAAGCTGGATTGCAGCTGTTCCACAGAGGAGATGAGGCTGTGGAAACTGCCCAGAAGCTCCATGGGAACAGGTAGGGCATTCTCTCCAGAGTCCCCCTGATAACATCAAACATGCAATGTTTTTAGCAATCAACTATAGTCAAGGCAGCAATATTAATATATTCTTTACATGTATCCAATTAGCTAATTTAGTAAATTTATCAAATTGTTTATCCAATTAAAAAAAAAATTGATATTTTTTTCTAAATTAGGGCTGTGTCGGTAAACTCGACAACCGCACCACCGCGGTGGCTGAGTAGCACCTGAATATTATGACACGAGTGAAGCACAAAGCTTTGTTTACAAAAAAAATAATAGGTTAACAATTAAATGTTACATCGCAGCTAGGGATGTCACGGTACCAAAATTCCAGTAGTCGGCACCGATACCATTAAAATGTTACGGTTCTCGGTAGGGCTGTCGTGGAGAAGGAATTTCCCTTGCGGTAATTTCGCTTTTTGGCAAAGCTGAAGCAACGCTTCAATTAATCTAGACCAATGGCATTGATTCAATGCGTGACTCGCTGCTTTCCCCGCACGGCTTCCTCGCGCTGTGTAATGCTGACGCCAATCATGGTAAATACCCTTACACGTTAAAAGGATGATACAACAAATATTTCGCTTTCCTTGGAAACGGCAACCTTTTCACGAATGACTTGACTTCAAAGACAGCCGCAGGTAATCACACGCGCTCAGTTGATCACATTCACTGTCTGTTTAGGCTTAAGTCCAAATCCACGAAGCCTCTGTACAAATCACCATGATAAACAGTCTTGTTATCATTATTAACTTATTTAATATTCAATACACATGGTACGAACTACGAAGGGTGGCCTTATGAAAAAAGAAAACGCGGTTCGCGGTTGGTGCGGTTACTTTCACTCCTCTGCGGTTGGCCTTTCAGTAGCGCGGTACTGCAATATTGCGGTTATCGCGACAGCCCTAGTTCTCGCCCTAGTTCTTCATTTTTTTTAAAAAATAATTTATTTAACTATTTGAAAAAATATATATATATTAAATTCAATTCAATTCAATGACTTTATTATTTATAATGGTAAATTTATGAAAGGATTGAAGGCTACATGCTGTTTAAACGAAAATATTGATGATATTGAGAAATATTGCTTATAAAAAAAGTCAAGTGAAAAATAAGCAACCTTCTATGCACACATTATTATTATTAGTAGTAGTATCTTTAATTAATGGAGACGTAGTTAAATCTAATGTACAGTAGCCTAATATAATTATTTCTGTCAATTTCTTTAAGTTAAACCAAACTTTTATTTTGACGGGTTGCCGTGAAGACCTTTGAGTTTCTGTGCGTGTATGATATGACGATAGTTTTTCTCAAATGAAACGGTAAAATGCTCATGAAGTGACTCTCGGAGATGAATCGAATCATGTCACCATATCGTGAGGCAGCAGAGACTGAAAACAGCGCGAGCGTCACGTCGTGCTTCAGTGTGTGTGTGAGGTAACGTTTAATGAAACCGCGCATCTGCGCCGTTCATTCACACAAGCAGAACATGAAGGGTTCATATTTAAATAGTCGTTTTGCAGTTTAAGATACACAGACACCACATCAGCAGCACCGCCGGTCGCCATGTCAGCGCTTTCATGAAGCGGACGCAACTTCACGCCCTTTGTGCATGCATGCGCATCCAGAACCGGGTTTGACGCATACCTGCCAACCTAGAAGAAATTTTATGAGTACAACTGCGCGTTGTAAAAATGTTACTTTTATGAATAAAATTTTTGTCATCATTTTGAGAATGCAAGACACACACAGACACATGCCTATCTTCATAATTCTAGTTTTGACCTCTAAAGGTTTTTTAATTTGACACAAATACAAAATTTAACTTGCACTGCACTCAACACTATTGTTTTATTCATGATTGATATTGTATTCCATATAATCTGTGCTGGTCAATTAGTCTAAAATTAAGAAACCCCTAGATAACAGTCAAAAAAAAAAAAAAAAAAAAAAAAAAAACGGTCTGTAGCCTAAATGTTATAATTTTAAATTGGCTACTTAATTTATTATTCCAATATACAAATATGATATTAAATCCCACAGGGAAAAGGGCTTATATTTGTGACGTGCTATTTGGACATTAGGCTACAAACAGGACACGCATTAGCTGAATAAACTTTAGCCAATCCAAACATATTTATAGAAAACAGTTAACAATGAATAGACAGGAGTCCTGTCACATGACCAATAATATAAGTGTTCGAATCAGACGAATCCGACATAATATAATGAGGGCTGTTAACAGTAAAGCGTCCGTCATTAACGAATTTTAAAAACACGAATGGATAATACAATAAGCTTTGACATTTTGACATAAAAAAACACAAGCAAGAACTTTGCCTGTTAATTTTTATTTTATAAATATCTTCTCTCTCTGTGTGCGCGAGTCTGTGTTTGTGAGAGAGCTCGCGCAGCACTGATACATGATAGGCTATCATACAACGGTCATTTTTAATCCACAAATTCACCAACTAACTCGCTAGTTTTCATACAAAATAAATATGTAACATAATTCGGTACTTTAGTTAACATAATACATAACGTAACACATGCGATACGTTTCTCAACACGGATAATGAAAAAATAAACGCCTGTTTCTCCGGATTGGCGCTTATCAGTCATCCACAAATCACAGCACTTTCATAATCACTAAGACATAGCGATTTCAATTTTATTAGGGCCCAAGCCTTGAAAAGGCGAAGATTTATTGTTCAACATTACTTGAGTATTTTATAATTTGCATGGCTGAATGTCTTCCTCTTATCTGAGTTACCGAGTTATCAAGAGTTTTGTGCAAGCAATTTAAGGTCGCGACTCTTGTCCCAAATATAGCAGGCTTCATTCAGTGATTGAAACAAATATTATTAACATTAATTGAAGTTTTAAAGAACCGACATTGAACGCCCCGAGCGAGCTGTGCTGTGGTAAACATGGAACTTTTCCTTGACATGAAACGGTAAATAATCAAACCAGTGAACCCTGCGATGCATGGAACTGCTGTATCTAACCTACCTTATTCATGCAATAAATAAGAATAAGAAATAAAAAACTTTCAGCTGTGCCAGTGCGACTCTTGTGACCTGTCCCTGATCCCTCAGGCAGCGCGCAAAGCAGACAGCCGCGCCTCTGATACCGCGGGCGTGTTTTTCCACATTCAAATATTAATTTTCACATTCGAAATTCTGTTTTTTAAAACTATTCGAATATATAGGCCTATTCGAATTTAGAATATTCGTTGACAGCCCTATTCTCATTTGAATTATAAATAAGTTTGCTTTTAAACTGTGTGTGATTTTGGTTGGGTGACAGTTAAATTTGACAAGAGTTTACAGTTTGACAAAACCACAATGTTGTGTCGAGTGTACACAAGTATAAATAAACACTTTGCAGTTTGAATGATGTCCTGTATGAACGACGGAGTATATTTTTTGTTTCCAGTGCCGCGCCTCACACACACACACACACACACACACACACACACACACACACACACACACACACACAAATACACCATTCCAGGCTTGACATCGCAGCCTGTTCATTATAGCCGAAATAAAAATATGACAATAAAATAGTCAACCTAATATAAAAATCACACTGCTCTGTTTAAATAGTCAATTCGTACCATTCAGCGTAAGCACCGCTCAACTGTGATGTTTCCAAGCACATTTTTGCGCATGTGAAAAGGATGATTTTTTTTCCTGTCGATATTGCAACGTGAGTGAAGTTACTACAACGCCTATAATAAAGAATAGTTTACCATCAAATACATCGCGAATGTTAAAATATTTTGATTCTAATGAGAGAGTTAGGCTACGTGAGCATAATGCCCCTTTTACTTTCCCTTTAAATTATTTCGTTTTGGCTTGTTTAGTTATTATTTTTTTTATTCTTGTTCTGTTCTGTATATAATGAATATTACATTTAAAGAGTTTGTTGTGGAATATGTTTTGTTTATTTGTATTTTTTAAGCATTCAGCAAACGATAAGCTATTTATTGGTTAAAAGTCCTGTAGGCCTATAGCTTGATCAAATTATTTCAGAATCGACTTTGCCTTGCAATCGCGTCAAGGATCAGCAAGTGCACGTGCATCATCAAAAGTAAAGTGGTTAAAAAAAGTGCTTAAAGAAAGGTTAAAGAAAAAAAATTCTGCGCACGAACCTATGGGTCGCGTAAAAAAAAAAAAAAAAAAAAAGGGTCCCTCTTGAAAAAGTTTGAAAACCACTGGCTTAGAGCACCTTTAATCTATTGGTACGGAGATTTATTTCTATGCACAAGCAATGCAAAGGAAAATGTCTCTTGAAAGATGAAATTTAAGACCCACCTCATTTTTGGCACCATCTTCTTGCTGTTGGTCTTTCAGCTTAGCCAAATGACACAAAGATTTGATGGCCTCTTTAAAACCAGGACAGTAATACAAGACCTAAAATTTGTAAGAAGGGTAAACTCTGTTTAATTAGATCCAGACTGCTATAATATTAATATGTTGATATTTAAGGCAAAACACCACAGGCAAAATAGCCGGTCAATTTTGAAATTTCAGGCTATTTCGCTTCCTTAACATGTCTTCTTTCAGACTAGGGGTGTAAATATTAATCGATTTGTATCGATCCATCGATTATCGTGTTTATTTTGCCGCCTGTCTATTTTCAGCATCTGCTCCGACATACATACAACCTACTCCTAAGCTCCGGGTGGCGCTAACCTCATTATTGTCTTCTACTTCACACGCGTTACTTACGTCCCTCGTCCTGCTCGCCACAAATACTGTTTCTGTATTCTCAATAAAAGGCAAATTATTTATTTTTTTGTTGATTTATTTGAAACTTAATAGATATCATGTAAAAATATCTAGTATTGAATCGTATCGAGGGAAATTCTGAAGAATTGAAAATAATCGAATCGTTGGCTTAAGAAATCGGTATCGTATCGAATCGTCATTAATGCCGCGTTCCAGGCAACCTGTAACCTGTGTTTTTCCAACCTTATACCCGTGAAAGTGCACTGGAACGGCAGTCAAACACCGTGACTTCCCACCCGTGAACTCGTACTAGATCGATGTACTCCCAGTTACGAGTTCTGACGTCACATAGCCCGCAAAACCATACAAAACAACAATGGCAGCCCCTACGGATGCAGTGTTTCTGCAGGCGGTACACAGTGAGAAAACACTTTAGTACAATATAACGTTGCAGTCAAATTAATAATAATATAATAATAATGATAATGATACACACAAGATTATGTATTACAATGTTATGTGTCTGAAACAATAAGTATGTATATACACACACGATTATGTATTACAATGTTATGTGTCTGAAAAAATAAGTATGTATATTGCGCTCAGGTAGTTTGGCCTGACTGGCCTGGAATGCTACAAAGTCGTGAGTCGTGGTTTGAAGTCGTGATTTACGTGCTCAAAAACCTGCCTGGAACGCAGCATAAGGCTCCGATTTACACCCCTATTTCAGACTAGTGAAACGAAAACATCCAAAATACACATTTAAGTGTTTATTTTATTACACTTTATCTACATACATCTGCCTTCTCATTTTTTTTTTCGGGAACTGAGGCAGAAATCTCAACTACAGTAGCACTTAAATACACTTAAATAAACTTTACAAATGTATTCCGATCTATATTTTTACATAGGGGTTCAAATATAATAATTGATCATTATATGGATCAGATAATGGATCATTTGCATATTTAAAAACAACACATTTCAGAAAACCTGTCATGCAAAACAATCATCTTAAAGGTATAGTTCACCCAAAAATGTTGTCATTACTTACTCACCCTCTAGGTGTTCCAAACCTGTATGAGTTTCCTTCTTTTGCTAAACACGAAAGAAAATATTTTAAATAATTTTGGTAACCAGACAGTTGATGATAGCCATTAACTTCCATAGTAGGAAAAAAAAATACTATGGAAGTCAATGGCTACTGTCAACTATATGGATACGAACATTCTTCAAAATATCTTCTGTTGTCTTCAACAGAAGAACAGAACTTCAACAGAAGTTTGGACCAACATAGGGTTGAGGAAATGGCAACATTTTCATTTTGGACAACATTTTCATTTTTAGGTTAGCTATCCTTTTAATTGTACTGCGATAAATCAACGTCGAGAAGTATAGTGATCTATAAGGCTGTTTTTTAACCATATTCACCTGCGGTATCTTGCCTTAAGACCAGGGTTATGAATAAAACATTAGCAAGTAAGCTGAACAGCATACCTGAAGGATGCTATTCAGATAGCAGGTGTTCCCCAAATTATTAAGCCCTACAAAGGGCACCAGGCTCTCTTGCTTCTCAGCAGTAAGAGGAGATGAAGGGCAAGGCATTGGCACAACCTGGTCATGACTTGAGGGGGAAAGTGGGAACAGTTAGGAAAAATAATATGGTACTTCAACATAATCCATATTTGATAGCTCAATAACAACATGCCATACTTAGTAGTCTCTTCTGGTTCAGCGGCACAGCTATCTTCTGCTGGGGGCTCTGAGAAGTCCAGGGCTCGTTTGGTGTCTTTCTTCTGGAAGAACTTTAGAGAGAGTTTGCTTTTCTTCACAGGACTGCCCGCTGCAGCCACCACTCCACCTCCACTATGCAGCCCGGGCATTTTAACCATTCACTAAAGAAGATAAAAGAGAAACTAAAGCGAATGTCAAAAACTTAACGCACTCACTCAAAATATTGAAGACAAGCCACGAACCGCGTGAGAACCTTGAGCTCAGATGTGCCCTATAAAATACTAGAAGCTGATCTCTGCTATAAATAACTTCAACTATCAAACTTTAATTCATATATAACGTTAATAGTTTAATATTCGCGTCATATTGTCTTGAAATCCGTAGTGTGATCATTATTAATTCATATGTATGAAGGCATATACGTTAGCAGTGTGGCTAACCGTAGCGGCCCAGCCCACACAACATGCACGTTAATATTTGCAAGAGTACTTCAGAATTACGTAATAGGAAATAGAAGTACATTTAATGGTCTTACCTAATGAGTCCTATTATTCATGCGTTACATTTTCGGAAAAGACAATCCAAAGTATGCAGTTTCGTTTTAAACATAAACAACTTGACATTATTACGCGCGCCTGCTGTAGAACTTGGCGCTTTTTCCACGATTGAGACTCCCTGCTACTGCCTGAACAAAATGAGATGGTCGAATAAATTGTGCGAGATTAAAGAATGAGCGCAGCGCGAATTTTACGATTTGTTTTTGTTTGTAAAAATATATATTTTTCAAAACCATGAATAAAAATCTAAATTAGTTTTCTGGCATCATTTTGGACTACCACATCGTGTCTGTCAAGCTTAAAGAATACCATTTTAAGCCGATCTGAGATCAGTAACGCGCGGGTTTGTAATTGTGTTGGGGCTGGAGTTTGTGAATAGAGGGCTGACTCTGGATCAGCTTAAAAGGGAGCTTCACGGGTAACCGTCTGCACGGTAAATAAATCAATTTCTTTGTTCAAGTTTTTTAAAGATCATCCTAACTGCTTGCTTTTGTATGTTCATTTGAATGTATTTAGGGCGCAGCCAACATAGGCTTCTGTTATTCGTATGTCAAATTTAAAATTGAAGAAGAAATTGTAAGATACATTGTAGCCAAAACATTTTTAACAAACTAAATAAAAATAAAACATCAGTTTGCTTAAAAAATACTCAAATAACATGGGTTTTTTTTTCCAAGTATTTTTTACTTTTCACCAGCAGATGGCCATCAATGCACGAGGAAAGCTAACTGGGACATTCAGCTACAAACCATCCACATCTACTTCTTTATTTCTGGTTCCCATACTCAGCCTATTTTGACAACCATTGAAATTGTATTATAATTATGAATTTAATGAACGGTTTAGAATTACATGGAAAAGTGTAGGCATTTATAGATGCTGTAATTGGGCACTTATTTGGGTTTTACATTATTTTAATCATCGTTTTGCAGTACATGTGATGTGACAAATTAAATGATAAACACTGCATGCAAGAAAATGCTGTGTAGAATAGTGTTATATGGAGCATATAACTTTACACAACATAATTTCACCTGCCAATCAACATAATATGAGGCATCTAGGCTAATTCAATTCAAATCTCATCAGCAGCATCTGCTTACTTAGAAATCCCTTGTCAGGAAAATGTATGAGGAAGACAAAAACAGAACATTATTTTCTTTTGTGTTAGTGCATGTGAATGCACCTTTATGTTGAGGAGACTGAGGCTAGTTGTCAAAAGGGCTATTATATATCAGTAACCACACTGGCATGCATTCAGGCAAATGTCAATTGTGGTTGAACTGTTTTATGACAAGAATATTCGAGGTTGATGTTGTCACATGCATTATCTTGCAGTTTTATGCAATGTATTATTAAATGTCTTAAAATGAATCTAATAATTATTATTATTTATCATAATAAAATGTTATATAATTATTGTAATATGTAATTTATAATTAATTAAATGAATTTACTATATATTTACAATATTTGTTTGGCCAAAACAATAGTTTGATATTTTTGTAAATTACTTTAAAAAAAATCTGTAAATTGTTTTTCCATTTAAATTTACAAACATAACTAATATTATGTGTTAATATAATGCATATGTATTATTACATATTAAATATCCACTGGAGTGTGACAACTATGGTCAACCCTTTAGCCAAATATAAATTCTTGTATTAAAATGTATAATGTGCTTACAAGAAATGCACCTCTTTTTATTCCCCTACAGTGTTAACCATGAAGCCTTGTAGAATGCAGTTACTGTCAGAGGCAAAACAGCCCTGGGATGAAGCTTTTGAGTCTGGAATCGCAGAGAAATAGACCAGCGCGCTCAAAGAATGAGAGGCATGTCCTGCACTCTTTCAGCCCCAGCTGAGCGGTGTGCTGTTTTTTAAATCACTTTACCACACTACCTCAGTGTCAGTGACACACACACCATACACACCGGCTGGATCACACACACACACACACACACACACACACACACACACACACACACACACACACACACACACACACACACACACACACACACACACACACACACACACACGTCAATTCTTGATGCAGAGCTCAAGCAGCATATAGGCAATATGGCTAAACATCAGTTTAATATTTTTACTTTAATCCTATAGCATTTGAATGTGATGGGGAAGCTGAATGGGGGGGGGGGGGGGGGGGGGGGGGGGGGGGGCTACTGATGTGTGTGTGTGTGCTTATGTGTGTCTGACCCTGCTATTGGGTGAGCTCTGTGGGAGGGGTGTGTCCAGGCTCACAGTATAGCGCTTGTTATGAGAGCATTCTGCCGTCCCCTTCCACAAATCTCAATAACAACAGTATCACAGCCTCAGATTGTGAGTGTGTGTGTAGGGGAGTGAGGAGTGCCTCTACCGCCGTCGCAGCTGCTTGCTGCTTCCTCCTTGTGCTGGATTTCCCTGAAGGTCTGCCTTACCTCTGCAGTGCCTATAGGAAAAACATAAGGGTCCCCCAGAGACTGAGGTAAGTGATGTGAGATAATGCATTCCTCTTCTGTCAGCTTCATTATTCAACTTTTGTCATGTTTACCTTTGGAAAATACAGCACACCTCTATACAGTAGATCCCACATACCCTCCCTTAAATCCACCCTTTTCATTTCTTATTGAGCATTTCAGGAAGCCTTATTATGTGCTGTTTTTCTAGTAATGATTTATTTTTTAGATTGGTTGTCCAGAAACTAGATCCTTCATTTCAGACCTGGCTATTTTTATAGTGAGCTGGCCACCTTGACAGCATTGGTCATTTGGCCGTTATTAATGCTCTCTATGTGGGAAGCCCATCTCATTGCACAAATAGTCTCATGTCGCGCTTGGCTGTGCTGTTTCAGTTTACCTCCCCGCTGGGTTGTCGTAATGTCGACCAGCTGGCTGTTACTATGTGTCAATCTGGAAGAGATGCGAGACCGTTTGATTGTGCCGTAGTGCAGCACTGCGCTCGTGACGCTGGGCTGCTAGATCTCGCGCGTCTGCAGTCAATAGCGGCTTGGTTATTTCGCGATGGAGGCTGGCTCATTTTGCCATCCAATTGACGGTGAGCTCAGCTGGTAGAGATCTCTAATATCCTACGATGCCCGAGGCGAGATCCTAGCTGTCATGCAGAAAGGTTCCCTGTTGGATTTGTGGCAGAGTGCGCTTTTCTGCCAGTTTCAGTCGCAACCGAGATAGTGTTTTTTTTTATTCAGATGCTATGGGTTGGTCAATGTGCATATTATTTTGTACATACCACATGTAGCTTTATTAAGCAGTGCGTTTTCTAAACTGCACAATTAGCTTATTTGTCACTGTCATGATGTCTGGGATAGTGTCCCAATTATCCTGACATTCACCCTCAATCAGTTTATGCAGGAACAAAACTATTATTGATATGAACAAAATAAAACAAAAAATAATCTCATTACAGAGTAGGCCTACAGACGGTCATTTCATTTGCACAGGGTGCAGATTATGGGGGGTTCGGGGTGGGGGGCAAATCCCTCTAATTAAGGCCATGTACCCCAACAAAGGAAGTCAAAACAACTGGTTTGGGGGTCTTCAGGGGTTTCAAAAGTTTAAATAAAGGTTAAGGTTAGATTAGAAGTTAGTCACAGTGGATGTTTTGACCTGTAGCCGAGTAGACGCTAATGAACAGGCCCGCGTTCTTCAGATGAGGTAACCATAAAGCAACACTGCCGATGGGCGCTTTTTATTGCATTTATTAAAGATATAGAATTTAAAAGATAATAGAACTAGGATTTATTTTAAGTTTTTGAAAATCTGACAAAAATAAAAAGTTACAAGTCTGTGTATTATTGGCTTTAGTAATGGGACAAAATCCCAATCCCATGAAGCATTGCAGACAGCATTGAATTAAAAACGAGGAAGAAATTGCCATGTATTTATCTACAAGGTTGACGAAGAGAAACGTAGGAGATTTTTATTAAATAACACAGAAGCTAATCCAAAATGATAAAACACAACGAAACAGCGTGCCATGCACAAACAATACTGGACAATGAACTGAGGGACTTAAATACATAAGGATAAAGATGAACAGGTGCTAAATAATCAAAAAACAAACCAACAGAGAGCGGGAAAATGAAACGAAGGAAACAACTAAGAGAAGCAAAAATGTCCTTGAAAATGAAAGTAAAACACGTGACCTGTAATACCTGAAATAACCTGTAATAGGTACTCATTTAAAAATGTTTATATATATATACAGTTATCCAAGCCCCATTGCAAATCAGGTTTATTTGCCAAATTTACAGACTTTCAGCTGTTTGCAATGAGCAAATTAAACAAAAGTAATTGAAATAGCTCAACACTATAACATTTTCAAGTGGTTTCCCAAAATTCAACTGATATTTGCCACTTTTAATGTCTTCTGCAGTCTCAAAATTATTCAACCCCTTCATGGCAAGCATCTTTAGTACTTAGAACACCCTTTTGATGTTATGATTCTGGCAGCGTTTCTGAGGAATCTTAGCCCATTCCTCATAAGCAATGGCCTCCAGTTCAGTAATATTCTTGGGTTTGCGTGCTGCAACCCCCTTTTTCAAATCCCGCTAGAGATTTCTATGGGTTCAATTAAGGTGACTGTGATGGCCACTGTAGAATCTTCCAGGACTTCTTCTGCAACCAAGCCTTGGTGGAATTTGAGGTATGCTTGGGATCATTGTCCTGTTGCTTGGAAGGTCCAATGACACACAAGCTTCAGCTTCCTCACTGATGGCATGACGTTTTCTCCTAGGATTTCATGATGCTTCAATGAATCTATCTTGCCTTCCACACGCTGCAGGTTTCCAGTGCCAGAGGATGCAAAGCAGCACCAGAGCACTACCGAGCACCACCATGCTTAACTGTAGACAGAGGGTTCTTTTCAGCATATGCTTCATTCTTCTTCCTCCATACATACCGCTGATCCATAGGACCAAAACTGATGAGACCAGTTTTGTCTCATAGCTCCACAGAACAGAATCTTCTGTGGCTTATTTATATGATTTTGAGCACATTTCTTGTTCTTGTTCTTTTGGGTCAGTAGTGGTGTAGTCTTGAAGTTCTGGCCTTACTGTGCAAGCTGAAACCTCAGTGCCTGTTGCCACCA